GGACATGCTTTTTTTTTTTTTTTTATTTTTGAGACAGGGTCTCCCTATGCAGTTCAGGCTGGCCTTGAGCTCACTTTGTAGCCCAGGCTGGTCTCAAACTCACAACAATCTTCCTGCCTCAGCCTCCCAAGAGCTAGGATTACAGGCATGTGTCACCACGCTAGGCTATTTATTCTTTTTTTTTTTGGTACCGGGAATCGAACTCATGACCTCAGGCTTGCCAGGCAAGCACTTATGCCACTGAGCTGTATCTCTGGCCCTCTGTCTTCTGATATAGCATCCCATCATGTTCCCTAGGCAGTCTTGGCACTCTTTTGTTCAAATTATTGTTGCCTCAGTATTCAGCTGACAGGACAGATGTGCTGAACCTCACCCTGCTATGTTTCAAGTATTTTCTAGCCATGATTATATACAATTTTAGAAAATGCAAATTAATTGTAAAAATATTTCAACAAATTTATGACCTATTCAAAATAAGTACTTTCTCATCTGGAATAGATCAAATTTAATGGCAAAGCTAAAAATGACAGAACTAAAAGCAACTATCAGGAAAAATTAAGACTCCTGCAGTGTCAGGCCAATTGAAGCAACTTGGAAATGCACTACTGGGCAAATGAGAATCAGAGCAACTCCCATATTTCTATGTGACACACTTTCTTCAGTGACTATAGAACCCCTATTATAGATACTTGTGACAAAGTAACTTCTTTTATGTTTGGGTGATGGTGAAAATGCAAAGACATGATATCAGGAACGCTTTTTTCCACCCTTGTGACCAAATTTTCAGTAAGTACTTATGTCCGAGTTAACTCTCAGTTGCTGGAACACAATATCCGACATCCAGAATTTAAATGACAGGCAAGCACTTATGCCACTGAGCAGGTTTATTTTGGTTCATGGTTTCAGAAACCAGGTTTATTTTGGTTCATGGTTTCAGAGGCTTCAGTTAATGGTCAACTGTCTCCAAGGAAGAAACATCACAGCAGAAGGGTATGGCGGAAGAAAGCAGCTTACCTCATAGCATCCGTGAAGCAGAGAACAGGGAATAGGGTAGCCAGGGCCTAGACACAGTCCTCAAGGTCACACTCTCACCTGCCTGGCAAGCACAAGGTCCTGAGTTCGATTCCCAGTACCAAAAAAAAAAAAGTCACACTCCCATGACACACCCAGATAGACTCAGAGGTGTACTTCATTCATTAAATTCCTAGGCTTCTCTCAAGCTAATTAAAATGACAATAAAGATTAACAATCAGAACTTATAAATAAGATTTCTGCCTGCCTTTATTATCTATCATTGCTGTATAACAAAGTACTGTGCACTCAAAACTTGATTTAAAACAAAATTTAGTACCTTGTAGATTTTGTGGGGTCAGGAATCACCCTAGGAATGACTTAGCTAGGTCCTTTGCTTCGGGGCCCCTTATGTGGTTGCAGTAGCAGAGGGGCTACTCTCATCTCACGGTCCCAGTAGGGAAGATCTGCTTCCAAATTCACTCTTACAGTTGTTGGAAGGGTTCAGTTTCTTGTGGGCTATTGGCAGGATGCCTTCCTCGATCCTTGGTTTGTGAACCATATGGCAACCAGTCCCTATCAGACAGAGTGAGAGGTCAAGAGAGAAGTCCCTGTTTTAACAGAGAACTTCTCTCTTTAGCTTCAAGGATCCACAGATAGAAGAGACTGAGATCCTTTAACTGTTTAAAGAACTGCATCCTGAGGAGCCTCTGCCATTCTGATCTTACTTCAGTAATGAGATTCTGCACTTTGAGCTAATATTGTAATGCAGAGAGACTTTAGGGGACTTGGGGAGTGGGGGTAAATGTATTCTGCACGTCATAGACAGATTTTAAGACAGCTCCCAGTAGCCTCACCTCCCAGTCGTCCCAACTTCCAGTGGTCCACCCTTTGGGTATAGGTGGGGCCTACTGACCAGCTTCTAATGAAAAGAATACAGCAGAAGTGATAGGATGTCATTTCTGGTGCTAGGCCCCAATATAAAATGATGGATAAACATAGGACAACTGCTATAGTCATTCCTATTCACAAAGGAGGGGATGGGAGACACACAGATGTTACTGAGTTCAACCTGAAAACAAGGAGGTAGGAATCTGAGGGGGCATTTTAGAGGCTGCCCATCACACTGCCTTTCCATTTGATTCTAATAACCAAAGAAGTGCAACTTTAGGGAACTATTTTATGAAACCTGAGGTATAGCTGATTTTCAATATAAATGGTATTGCTGCAAATTTGTATTGCTATTTTTCTTTGGCTCAGAGTAAAAATTATTGTCAATTACCAGACTACTGGAAGAAATTGCTTAAAATTCTATTTTTTTACATGACTACAGATTTGATCATTGACTTTTGGATTGCTTAATTTTCCAAAGATTTTTCCAAATGTGTTCCTAATGTTTAATATGACCTCTATTACAGCTCAATACTTACTGCTCTAACTGTATTCTATATTTTTTCTTCAATTTATCAAGTTACATGGTATTTGCATAAAATTCAATTATGTCCTTGAAACATCAGCGTCTTTACTTTGAATATGGAAGTTATTTTGTTGTTATTTTTGCACTCTTAAGAGAACTAAAGGGATACTTTCCACTTCCTTTTTCTATGATGCTTTCTAAAGTCCTGGTAGAAAACTCTATTTTTCTTCCTTTTCTATCAGTCTACGTAGATTCTCAATCAAAGATGGTTCTGTTCCCCAGAAGACATTAGCTAGTATCTGGAGATATTTTTAGTTTATAATTGGAGTGTGCTACTGGCATTTAGTGGGTGGAGACCTGGGGTGCTGCTAAACATCCTAAAACAAACAGAATGACCCCAGAACAATACAGAATTAGCTGGCTGAGAATGTCAATAGTGCTAAGATTGAAAAATGCTGGTCTGAAAACAAAGCACTTCTCCCACCTTAAATATGATGACATCAGAAAGTTGTTTCAGTCTTATGATATAAATTGCTTTTCCCCCTAATCACATCTCTTCTCAAAATAATAACAATATGGAACTGATAAAAACTAACAATTGCAGGTAAACCAGGTTCTACATCAGTTCCTGAACCACTGACTAATGTAGTCTGAGATAAAGGACATTGAAAAAGTGAGATTTCACTATAATACAGCTGAGACACTTCTTTTTTTTTTTTTTTTTTTTGTTTTTTTCCGGTACCGGGAATCGAACTCATGACCTTGCACTTGCCAGGCAGGCGCTGTGCCACTGAGCTAAATCCCCAGCCCCATCTGACACTTCTTTTGATTATGCAACATACACTGGATGCTTTGTGATACTTTGTAATTTTATACTTTAAGTTTATACAACTGGTATTAACTAGAAAATGTCTATAATAAGTATATCCAAAGTGGAGCATGGATTAGGAAATTCTTAAAATTTCTGTATCTTCTTAGAATGATGTTAAAATAGTAACAAAATTGAGAACAACGTAAAGCAGTATCATGGAATCCTTAAGATAATGACAATATCTTAAGCAACAATGTTGCAGATTTTATTATTCTATGATATTTCTATTTAAAACTTAAATCTTCATTTAAATAAGTTGTCTATAATTTTATGAATTGTCTGTATCTGCAGGACAGGCCTTGGGAGAAGAATATACACTGTTTTTCTTAATTGAGCCTGATTAGTCTATTCATAATATAAACATGCTATTCTTTTATATCAGTTTTTATCTTCAATGACATAGGCAAGATCTAATATCAAATTGGCTGTCTCTACAGCCACCTTCAGGCCACTGAGCTTAGCAGTTAAACAGTCCACGGTTAGGCTATGGGCTGATTGTTGAGTGATTTCCAGAGCTTCCTGTGGAAGACGGGTGTGGGGCACAAAAGGATGATGTGTGCTTCTGAGAAAAGACCAGGTGAGTTCCTCCTGGCTACTGTATACTCCACAGCCACAGCGAGAAAGCAAATCTGGCCAGTTAACAGCAGAGGGAGGACCCGCTTGAACGGACCAAAAGTGTCCATGCTTCATGTCAGTCAGAATTTCACCTCCATCGTGTTCCAAAGAGCCAGCGAGAGACTCTAGAGCACTGCAAAAAGCTTCAGCAATTAGCTGAAGCTCTGCTTGAGTACATCCATCATCTTGGAGAATACTTCCTGGCTCCTTATGAGTCTAAAGAGGAATAAAACCATTGAAAACATGTAATGAGTGATCAACACAAATCAGAACAGTAAGATATTTGGTCAAAACTTTATTCAGAAAGTTCCTACACACCTTGATTTGGAGTTTGGTGACAATGGTCATGGGCTTATATGGGTCAGCGGTCCAGGCTGCAAGCCCTTAACCTAATTGTTTATAATAAAATTATGTTCCTAACCCTGCTTTCAGAATGACTGAATCAGAGGAAACCCTGCCCCATTGTTCTCTGAGGGACTTCCTGGTGCTGCCTCTTTAACACATGAGGGCAAGACACGGTTCATGTAATGCACACAGGAGCAGTTCCTGAACACTAATGCTCCATGGGAGACCACCAAACTGCACTCTCCTGAGAAACGAAGCCCCGTGCCTTGATCTTTCTCTGACATTTCTTTCAACCCTATTCACTGAGGTATGCAGAGCTGGCTATACTGAAACAAATATTCCTTTAATTAGCTAAAAGAATGTGATTAAGTCTGGTTGAGACCCTAACTTGTCTCACTGCAGCAGGTGGGTGAGAACTGCCCCCCTATCCCATTGATGGCTAGAATGGGTGCTCATATAGGAGCCTGTGAGAATCCAGGGCTTAGACATGAGACAACATCTCAGCTGAAGCCATGGGACTCAGAAAGAATTATATCTTCCTGGCAGTAAAGGTGCCAGCCTTGCATACATCAAACTATCTGTTACACTGCTATTTGGAGAGCCTTTGTGCTTGGTACAAAATTACTCTGTTTCTCCTTACAGCCAATGCCTACAAAGTTTCTTTTCCCAAGCACTCTGTCCCATCTCTCACTCACCTCCCTGATTGATACCAATAGAAGGCATGAGTTTTTGGACTCAAGGCGTTTTGTTCCACAGAGAACACTGGCCATTCCACAGCTCTTCATCTGCAGAACTTTCTCTGTTTATCTTTATTTTGCATTTGTGTGTCATATTGCCAGGTGGGAGAACCAAACCCTCCACAAGCATTTCAGTAATGCTCCAAATGAAGTACTTACTAATTTAGATTGATTTAAAATGAAAATGCACACCTTACTATGAAGACATAATTTGTGGACATGTAAAATTCCCACATCCATATTTAAAAATGTAGATTTTTCTCTCTAATGAGAGGGTAATGAAACTTAAAACTGCTTTTTTCTTTGGTTCAGCATTCTAAGAAGTTTATTCTAGAAATTTCTTAACAAAGAAAAAGATCAATACATCAGCACACTAATAATTGAATAATGGTTAAAGAAATTCATACCCTAACTACTTAAAAACAGTAACCATTTCTTTTTGTGTAGCCAGGTTTGAACCAGATAAGATCACCTACACTGCATATTTTTCCCATACCCTCTATCCTGTATTACTTCTAAAAGTCTGCTTAAGATACCGTCTTACTTCAAAACACTTTCTCTAGTTTACTCTGTTCCATGTAAAGATTACACTATTGTCCCTTCAGTCTCATTAGATTGTCATGGATTTTATTTTTTATTATGCATATTGATGCATATTTTGATAACTTCTCCTGAATGTGTATTATGCTCCAATAGATTTTAAATTATTTGGGGAAGCATGGAGGGGCCTGGCTGTGAAAACATTTGTTCTCTTTCTAGTCCTAGTTACCTCCTGAAGTTCTGCAGAGCCTCTCTTTAAGGCTCTGGTCTAGGCAAAGAGCACACTGTGAAAATATGGAAAATATAGATGGCTTTTTGTGTCCATTTTCAAATAAAGTAGCACTAAACTTATCTGACTGTCAGGAAATGGTGCTTCCTAGACTAATCAAAAAATTCTATCTAGTAGAATTAACATATACCATAGATATCAATTTAAAATTGCAATAAAATTTGCTACTTGGAATGTTATACTAAATGCAGTTTTTCCTTGACACTCCAGAAAGTACTAAAGCACTTTGTAGAAACTTGACCCTTTTGTTGTGAACATCAGTTATGGCTGAATTCCAGGATTTGTGTTTTCTACGAATTCTCAGTATCAGAATGCTAGTTTTAATAAGCAGTCTATGCAGACAGTACTCAAAGAATGGTATCATTTGCTAAAAGATTAGATTTGTAATAACTGTTGCAATAAAGACCTCATACTTACAAGAATTATTTTCCTCAAGTGTTTTCAAGTACAATATCTGAGTTAGGTTATTGAACAATTAAGCCTTAAAGGTGCTAAGGTATTACAACTGGGTTTACTATCTCATAAAAGAAAAGTTGCTGAGAATTGAGGTCATCAGCAGAGGCCTCTTCGACTTACCATGTGTCTGATATATGCAGCCAAATGAGTTTCAGTGCAGCCACCTCCCAGCAAAACCCATGGATCCTTGATTGTTAACTGCAAAACATGCAGTGCCGTTTGACATGTGAGCTGAGAAGGAAGCAGGTCAGCGTCAGGCATTCAGCTCAGGAACAGAAGTATCATTATGCTCTCAAAACAACATAGCTAGTGGACTCAAAGAGCCTGATTTTTTTTTTTTTTTTTTTTTTTTGCACTGGGAATCGAATTCAGGGCCTGGAGCTTGCCAGGCAGGTACTGTGCCACTGAGTTACATCTCCAGTCCTCAAAGAGCCTGACTTTATTAATTTTTTTTTTTCTTTTTTGATTTTTTTCCTGTACCGGGAATTGAACTCATGACGTCACGCTTGCCAGGCAAGCGCTGTGCCACTGAGCTAAATCCCCAGCCCCAAAGAGCCTGATTTTAACTGACAAAAACAAACTCTATTTTGTCAAGTTTGTAATATGATTAATACATTCTGGAATAATAAGGCTTAGAGATCAAAGATATTTTAGCCAAAAGTCTGTTTCATGGAATATGATTAGTATTTTCTTTCACAAGCATGTAACCTTCAAATTATGATTCACAAATGTAAGGTCAACAAGATTTTCCAGTACTTTTTTTTTTTGTTCTTTTTTGGAGACAGGGTCCCACTATGTAGTTTAGGCTGGTCTTGAACTCATTTGGTAGCCCAGGGTGGCCTCGAACTCCCGATACACCTGCCTCAGCCTCCTGAGTGCTGGGATTACAGGCGTGTGCTACCACACCCAACTACCACTCTCAAAATATTCTAAAAAAATTTTTTGATCTAAATATATTAGTTGTATAAATGTGATACAATTTATTTCAACTTTTTGGAAATAATAGCTAAAATCCCAAATAGTAGTACAAAACCATACAGACCTTTGACTCAGCAAGGATATACCCTTGGACATATGTGAATCTTTAACTTGTCATCAATGTCACAGAATATCGGTTCTCTTATATACAAGTTGCATGTGTTACTGTTGGTAAACTGTACTAACATGGGTGGTGGGTCCTGACTGGGGAACACATTTTCTAAGTGAATTATTTGTACACATTAACATTTACAGAGTACACAATTCATATTAACTTCTTACCGAAAGCTCACATCAAGGATCTTATCACATCAAGGCTTCTTGTGAATAGCAGATCTACTGTAGTGTCACAAATTAGCTTGGGGCTTTGCTTCTCGCATTCTTCTTTTGGTCAGGGATTGAACCCAGGACCACCTCCATTTTGAGCACAAGCTCCAGCACTGAACTATGTCCCCAGCTATGTTTAGATTTTTAAAAATTATTACAGTAAAAGACAGATTGCCACTAATCCCCCTCAAAACACTCCTCCTTCAAACATACCTATCCCATTGTTTTCAGCATTTTCTGAAGCAGTTTTGGAAATACTTTCTCATGTCTTCATGAAGTATGATAAAATGTACAGCAGATGCTGCTGCTAAGTGCCACTGAATAGGAAGGCAGGTTTGAAAAATATGACTGTGTGTCCACCTTATTCGCTGCATCTGGCACTGTGTGACTTATAGCTCTCACTCAGTCAAAATGATCATGAAAAGTGATCGTGAACTGATTCAGGACATCGAGGCAGCTACAACAGCACAACGAAAGACACTTAGGAAAGAAGACTTCCAGAACTGCTTCAAAAAGTCGCAAAAGCAATGGGAAAAGTGTTCAAAGTGAGAGGGAGGATTTTGAGGGAGATTAATGACAGTGTATCTTTTAGTATAATTTTTTAAAAAAATTTAAACATTCATTGTTATTTTTCAAACACGGCATACAAAGTAGCTGTTGAGTGATTATTTCATCCTTGCCTCAGGCCCTGGATATAGAATTCAAAGTTCCTTCCTTACCTTCAGCTCATCCCAGGCAGTGTCATTTCTGTTGCAGAGAAGCAAGCTGCAGACAGTAGCTTCATTAGGAATAAGATGAAAAAAATGTTTGCAGCCAAATTTAGCAGAGCACCAATTTTTTGCGTTTCCATAACTACTAGGAGATACTGGGCCTAGGGACCCAATGGGTTGCGCTCCTATTTTTGTAAAGTATAGAAAACATAAAATGTATAAGCAAAGGTGGAGCAAACAATCATTCAGAACCAGTCTTATTCCTAGATAACAGAAATTTTATAAAAGCTTATTGTTTACAATATGAAATGTAGGATAAAGAAATAAAATCCAGCTGGGCATGGTGGTATACTCCTACAATGCCAGCACTCTAGGAGACTGAGGCAGCAGGCTCTCAAGTTCCAGCCCAGCTGGGGAAGCTTCGTGACTCAGCAGCAACGCCCTATCTCAAAATAAAAAATAAGAAAATCAAAATTTAAAAAAATGCATTAAAGTTTGTAATATGATTTACATTTTGGAAGAATAAAGATTAGAATTATTATTTTGGAATAATAAAGATCCAACTTCCACACAGTAAGTTGGACAGGCTTCGGCAGAGGACCTCAATTCTCAGCAACTTTTCTTTTATGAGATAATAAACCCACGCAGGGGTGTGTGGTTCATTGTGAAACCTCTGAGTTCAATCTCCACTAGCAAAAATAGATAAATAAATAAATAAATAAATAAATAATAAAAAGAAAAGGCATCTTAAATCTCTGAAATTAATATTCAGCTATTAGAATGACATACAAATAGTAAAGCAGAGGTTCTTTTGGATACTTTGTTTAAAAACCTCTTTAAACGTATTAGAAGCTATTTTGTACTCTTTCCAGAAAAAGACACAAAATTGTGCAGACATGTTTAGGAAGTCTAGGAACTGTGAATTACCAGACATCAAAGACCCCAAGTTAAGGACCTCCTTATTCTAGGATGAAGGGGATGTGAGGGGACAGGGTCTTTTGCTTAAGGCATTGCTAGTTCAATTTAAAACAAATAGAACTTCCCAAGTAGAACCTTTGGGGTTCTATTAAACACATAGGAATTATTTTTTTTGCTTAACCACCATTTTTGTGTAAACAGCTACTTAAATTATACTAGAACAAAGTATGTGGCATACTTATTTCATGTTTTTACTGTTTGATCTAGTAAATGTTTTATTCTCTCACCCTGCACGTAAAGTATAAAATTTTAACAAATCACAATTTAGTAAGAACACAAATAAACTAGCGTGTCCTAAATTTTTGCAAACATCTGTAAACATGGTGAAAGTCACATAAGAAAGCTACATCAAACTTCTAAAAGAAATATTAGTTTAGAGTCCAAATATTAAAACTGCAAACCACAGCAATTCATCCCTCTGGCATGGCTTCCTTTTCTTTTAAACTGATGGGGTTAAGAACACACTAAGTCAAATAACAACTGTGGACTGGTGTAGGAACCCAGTTCCCACATACAGTGTTATTTCTACAGGAAAATGTCCCATACTTTAAAAACATTAAATAATCCAGAATACCCAATATTTATAGGCAGGAAATTACCAGATTCACGAAGAGCTAGTAAGAATTTAAGGAGACTCTGACCTTAGCAATGAGTTTTTAGGAATTATTTGTATTATTTCTTAATATTTTTCACTTTGATGTTCATGTGTCCTAAAAAGGGCACTAACTGAGGCATACTATGCATGTCACCTATATCGCTACTTTTTGACGATTTATAAGGTTACATTAACAATGGTTGAATAACCAAAATTACAGTCAGCACAGAACTAAATGGTCATCTTTCTGATAGGCTGCCAATGCATTTGAAGGGATACTGAGAAGTGGCTACAATCAGCAACCCTTTGGCTCTAACAGGTGAGTGTGAATCTTAGATATGACTTTAAGATGGATTTCTTGCCTACTATAATTCTTCAGGTTACTAAATATATCATCTTCAATTCAGCAAACCTTTTAGACAATCTGTTGTGTTCCACACCTGTTATAGGTGCTGAAAATGAAAGGTGACCTTGGCTTTCAAGGAGCTCAGCTGAGAGTATTTTTGATATTTAAACCCATCTCCCTCTCCCCATTAGGAACCACCATTTGGGCAGAAGTACAGAGTATCAATTGGTGTTAGGATAAAAGTGAAGGGTACTCCAGCTATAAAATTATCTTCTGAACATAACATGATTTAGAAGATGTAAATTTGAGTAGCATAGTTCTGAGTAGGGTGTGAAAGACATTATGAGGATGCTAGGCTCAACCACCTGGGATTATGATAATAGACTAGCACATTTCCGAGCTGAAAAATAGAAAATGGTCATAATCACTCCATTTTTAGTAAGCGAATAAAGGACCTTTTTAAGAAACCTTTGCTGCCAGAAATGATACACACTGTGACGTTGGCAGCTTGTGAAATTATGTAAGATTTTATCAGTGACATAAACCAAGAGTCTCAGCTCCAAAACAGTTTGATTTATTAACTGTAAGGGGCAAAAGCCCAGTGTTCTTTACCTGTCACTTTGCTGAGGGGCTCCATCAGCGTCACTCCCACTCTGTCTATGGCAAGAATGTGGTGATTACTAAGGAACTGTTTCAACGATGGGTGTATAACTTTTTGGCATAGGACGAGATCCACACGGTCACTAACTAGTTGCCTTCCTATGTTAATCAACTGGTCCAGGACTGCATTTTCAAGAGACACCCCATAACTGACCACCACACTTCCTTCTCCAGGGTCAGAAAAGTCTCCTGATAAAGATGTAGCAAAGAGCGCCACCTTGAGGGCACTTGATTTTCGGGCAGGTAACATCCTCATTAATTGAACTGACATTTCAATGAGTACTCCGGGTAACACAGTAGAATCTGTAACCCTTTGACCCTTTAAGGGTACAATTATGCACTTTCCTAAAATGATAGGCTCTCCTGTGTTTTCTGGAATTGTATGTAAAAAAGCCCTAAGAATCAAAGCACTGATATGATCTACTTCCTTCCTGGTGAGCATACAGGCAGGTTTACTTGTTAAAATACTGCGCACCAGACAAAGGAGGATCTGGGTACTAGTGAAGTCCACTGGGATTCGGCAACCACAGATCTCAGACCTGAGATAACTGATGCAGAAATTCAAAAGATGTTTATTAAGTTTAATGGTGGTAGCGGCTGTCAACTCTGTTTTCTGCACATTTTCAATTAGGTTGCAGCAAAGAATGGCTGTGAACAAGCCACAGTCACTGAAGCAGGATACATGGTTTTGAACAGCCGTTGTCAGGATCTTTAATATGGGGTGGGTGACCGAGAGGTTCCTGAGCAGCACCGTGGACTGGGAGGTTGTGCACACAGAGCCCCCCATGCCGTTGTGCAGCTGCTTCAGCCGCCCAAAAGGGCCATAGCAGGATGTTAGGACGCCTTTTAAGACAGTAAGTTTGGCCCTGACTTTCTCAGTTGTGAGTGGTTCACTGTGACACAGTGATGGTTTGTGGGCTTCTAAACAAGACATCATACATTGGGTGTGACTTGTGAAGCCAGCTTTTATTTTGTTAACTGTACTGTCTATTTACTGCCATGTGTTTTAACATTGCAAAAAATATTCTTCAGGAGTGAAGGCCTGAATTTAGTGTTGTGGCTATAAAATGATACAGTTCAGTGTTTCTGATAATCAGCACATAATAATTTAATACCATGTTAGTAATTCCAAGTATTTATTTTACTTCATTCTTCAATACTCTTTTGTTTGTCTCCCGCCTGAGATCTCACAGACTGTTTTGCAACCCTCTGTATGATGTATGTTCCCAGATGAACACCTATGAAAGACACCCCAGCTACAAGAAGCCAGTTCTTTCGAATCCAACTGGTTTTCATTTCTTCTTTTAATATCAAGCTCAGTTTCAAAGCTGCTTCTATCTGTAAGAAATAAAAACAAAACATTTTAGAGGAATAATTGTAAACTAGTTTGTAGACTGCAGTTCAATGTTTATTTTCATGTTCTCCATTTTTACAAAAAGAAACTTCAACTGTCAGAAGCTTCGAGAAAATGAGAAAGCTAAATCAACTTAGATTTAATATTCATTTATTCTTCAATGCATTGCCCTGATACAGAAAAAGTTCTTGTATTTCAATGATTTTGGAACGCACAATACAGCTAGAGAGCTTGCCTACAGTTGTTAGAATATGGCACATTTCTGGGAAAGAAACACTAGGAAAAACTAAGAATTTGGTCTCTGAGTCTTAAAGAAATAGTCTCAAATGTTTTTATTCTTATACAGTAAGACTTAATGTCATGGTTTGTTCAATAACTTTGTTTTGCTTGGAAACTAGGTTTGAATGGAAAATGAATGCATTTGTATCAAAAGAATGTATGTGAATCAATTGAATGCATTTATATCAAATCTTACTTGTAATTATGAACAATTATTGGAATTCCTGGAGAAAACAAAAAATGTATAGTCTACACTTAGCTGAATAAATCCATATAACACATTTGTATCAATACACAAATCATGTTTTATATACTTGGCTAGAGTCGGAATTAACTTTCTTTCATTTTAGTCCACTAATCAATAATTTTCGATTTTCAAAGTGCTAACCAACTAAGCCCCTCCCCCAAATGTTGGTTAATGACAATAAATACAAAAACTAGATGACAAAGAGAAAAGTAGAATCTGATTTGTAATTCCACTTTAAAGAATCTAAGTACCATAAAATAATATATACAAAGTGGGCAAGGAGAAATATAATAACAGTTCCCTTAGAAAGGTAGTAAATAGTGTATCTTGAGACTTAAACTCCCTACACTTTAATGTGTGAAAAGAATAAAAATTTTAGGTTATTGACCTTATCTGTTAATACCCACTGTTTTGAAGGTGAAGGTTTGGTTAATTATTAGTAAATTCTATTTAGGAATATACTAATTATACCAGCTACTTAGACAGCATTGAGCAATAAAAGTAACTTACCTACTTAACCTAATGTACTTGTTAAAGTAGTCTATGGGACAGTATGGTGATACAGAAAAGTGGTGTTCTGAAGATGTGCAAAGAAGGGGTGAAAAAGGAAATGTTATACAAGGCATTATTTTGGTTACTGCTTCCATTTTAGTTAAAAGGCTGTAACTATGGTAACTGGGCTCAACCAAAGTGAAGGCAACCTGGCCAGCTTTCCTGTATAAAGCTATGGGAACCTTTGGTTTGGGTATGAGGAGGGGAAAACAACTAAAACAACAACCAAACATGCAAAAACCACCTGTTTATCTTATGCCAGAAACAGCCATGATACTTTAATCTTATTTCAATGGCTTTTTCAGATTCAATAAAATCTGAAAAACTCACTTACATGAAACTCTAGCAAAGTTACTTCCATGTGGTTATTTAATATTAGATTTTATACATAAAATTCACAACAGAGACTATGATTAATAAAATAATTTTTCTAGTTTTTCTTGTTCATATCCATTAAAACTCCTCTATACATATAAATTTTAAAGAGAAATACATTACTTGGTCAAAACCTAAAGCCTTTTTTAAATGAGGAAAATCTTACTGAGTTCTTCTGTAAGGAGCAGAACCTTAAAGTGACTACTTTGACCAAAATTTAGAGCATAGTACTTACACTTACTTCAAGGTCAAAAAGCTTTATTAGAACAGAATGTGCTGTATAATTACACGGCCATGGTTCTTTATCTAGAACCTTGGGGCCAGATGAGTTTGATACTTCAGAGTTTCTTAGACTTTATAGTACCTAGTGTTCATAATCAAAATAAATTACTCATAATCAATTATACAGTATGACATTCATAATCAATATTCCAGCAATGCAACAGTTCAGCAGTTCAACTAAATTTTCATATCAAGTAAGATAAATACTTCAAATTGCCCCATATTACTTAAGATTAAGTTTTGCTACCAAAGAAGTGATAAAAAAACTTTTTGGGTTTTAGAATTTCTTAGATTTTGGAATTACACATGAGGGACTATAGACTCGAGTTATACAGCTATATCTTCTTCATTTCACTGACTCTCAAAAGTAACAAATTATTTCGAAGCTGAGATATTAGATGCTAATAGATGAATACAACTAGTTCTCTCTCAGGAAACATGAAAAAGTGGGTTGTAGTAACAATAGCAGGTATCTTGTCAGTTTAGGCTTTTTCTTGCCAGAGCTCTGTAAAATCAAGTTTCCCATCACTGGAACATACTCGAAAGCTGACCAGATTAAATGGAACTCACCTCAAGATTGCGAGCCTTCTATTTTCCCTGGATTTGGCTCTTCGGTGGACTTGCAAGTCCTAGACTGTGTGGCTCAGGAATGTCGTCCTTAGTAGGTACTCGGAAAACAGGGCTGCTTTTGATTCTGTGCCACCCTACATGGATGAGCCCTATTAAGGGCACCATCACCAGCAGAACTTTGTAGTCTCTCCAGAAGTTCTGAAAGCTCATAGTCTTTTGGCATCAGGGGACCTAAGAAAAGACTACGGTTAAAGGAGAAAAAAAATATATAAACTCCCTCAAATTATTCTTATAGACCACTAGAAGTAATACACTGTGCTCCAATAAAAACCAAAGTAAATATTTTACAGTGCTAATAATAGGAGATATTTTGTGGAAACTAAGGGACAGCAGGACCTTTGACTACGGAAACTTACAAAGCAAGGCTTTAGTCAACTATGATAAAGGAAGAATATTATTTGCAGGGAAAGCCACACAAAACCTTTGGAAATACTCATACATTCTTTGTATTTGTTTTTAACGTATCTCTCCTCTTCCTTCGTTTCTCCCTCTCTCCTTCTTTCTTTCCATACTGGGGACTGAACCCACAGCTAACATTCTATTGTGCTACATCCTCAGCCCTTGTTTTTTAATTAAAATTTTTTTTTTTTTTTTTTTTTTCAATACAGGGGATTGAGCCCAGGGACTCCACACCAACCTACATTCACTGCCCGTTTTTTATTTTGAGAGAGGATCTCAACAAATCACTAAGTTGCCTAGGCTGGGCTCAAACTTCGTATCCTCTTTCCTCAGTATCCCAGTGTGTGCCAGCATGCCAAGCTCTTATTTTTATGTTTTATAATTACATTTAGTCATGATTTTAACAGAAGAATCAAATGGTAATCCTTAAATATGCAGTGAGAATTTAGGTTTCCTGTTTTGACAAAATGTAAATGATGGTGTCTTAAACGAGATTGGAATAGTAAGTATGGATTCCAATTGTAGCAAAAGACTTTGGCACAGGAGCTATGAATCACAACTAGTTAGTGGTATTTCCATATTTATGTGCTGAAATGCAGCACTATAGTTTTTGCCCTGGATCACTGGTAGCCCTACCCCAGAAGGTTACCCTCAACACAGGGTACATGAAGATACTGGGGCCAAAACAGTGCCTAAAGTTAGAGCTATTTGGTGTTGAATACACACTTTTTTCCTGTGTTTGATAAGCATGGCATAGAGCCCAGGACAGCTGTGTTCTGAGGACCCATTAGGTTTGAAAACTCAAGTCTAGAAAACACTTAAAGCCTCCTTATACTTTTACAGGATACTCATTAGTGATACACTGACAGATTGTGATGACTGATATTCTATCGTTTATGAGACATGCTAAAGATTTGTTTCAGTTGCACCTACCTTTTTGTATCTTGAAATCTCCTAAATTACTTTGTATAAATGCAATTACAAAGATATGTGAACAGAATTTCTACCTACCAATTAACATTTAAATCAGTATATTAAAACATGGCAGGAATGAGCTAAGTAGCCTGAACTGTCTATTGGTTATTTGTGTATTACAAATAAAAGTTTGCAAGTATTATGCATACATATATATATTATTTCCAGCACTATAAACTATTTCTCCCCTAGGTCTAAAGTCATGCATAAGGATTTTGCTGCTAAGTTTAAACTACTGAATGGAGAAAGCGTGACCCACTTTGTAACTGAAAGAATCTTATGGCCTTTTCTGGTATCCTATAAACTTTACAGTCTTTAAGACCATACTTTTTATTGACATGTTCATGTTGTTTTTGGAAGAAATCAATCATAAATAATTGCAACATGATTAAATTTCACTGTGAAGTCTCCTGTTCAAACAGCTTTAGAACACTTGAGATTTGAGGGTGCAATATATAACTGGGGAAGGGACTAGACTTTTCCTTGGATGGCATGAGGTAAGCAATGTCCCCAGTCATGAGCTCCCATCATGATGTACTGCCTTGCCATTGGCCCAAAAGCAACAGACCAACCATGGATTGAAACCTCCAAACTATGAGCCAATATAAACCTTTCCTCTTTACAAGTTGATTTATCTTAGGTATTTTGTCACAGTCATGAAAAGTTGCCCAATATAGATCTTGTCATTCATATCACAACAAATTAAAACACAATCTATAACAGCAAATCAAAAGAAGTGTTGCACTGGCTCTGTATGCAGTTTACAACATGTAATAATGCAGTGTGCTCTGAATCTTCTTTGAGAAAGCCACAATGGAGTTTCAGAATAGGATTAAGTTAACTCTGTATATTTAATGAATTTTCTGAATCATGTGGGTGTTAGAGAGATATTCTGTTTTAACAAGCTATCTTTTAACAAGTTATCTTTCACCAAGATAACTTAAGGATCTGTGCATTGTTTTCTAGATTTAGTTAAACCTGTTATTTATTTTAGCTGAAAACTCATTATTTGCCAAACATCACTGAGGCCCAGTACAGTACTTCCTGCTTAGTGATAGAGACTGATTTAAGATTGATTGCTTTAATCTTTACTACACACCTACAGGTTCCTGCTTCCTCAACTTCTCCATATGTCATATATTGATTTGACTAATGGAGGCCAGAGAGCTGGTAACTATTTTGTGAGAGATTAGTCTGCTGTCCTCTGAGAGGCTGGGAAGATGATTAGGATCAGGATGATAGGGTTTTTTATTTTACAAAGTACTTTTTGAGCCTTCCCATTTAATCCACATGAAAACACTATCATAGCGCATATAAAGTAGGCCATCTCCATGCAGCAGTTGAAACTGGCATTCCTAAAATGCCACTGGCCTTAACTTTAACCTACTTTGCCTCTTTCATTTAAAAGCTTTCCAGCTACATGTTCTATTGCCTATATAAGCAACTTGCCCATGGCAAGGCAGTACATCATGATGGGAGCTCATGACAGGGGACATTGCTTACCTCATGCAGGGAAAGACACATTGGAGTTTACTAAGGCTCACTGCTATTTTTAGAGGACAACATAGTTTTAAAATTTCATATTTGGGGGCTGGGGATTTAGCTCAGCGGCAAAAGCGCCTGCCTGGCAAGCGCAAGGTCGTGAGTTCAGTTCCCGGTACCGGAGAAAAACCAAAAAAAATAAAATAAAATAAAATAAAATTTCATATTTAACATGGTAGACAGGTAATATGTTACTTATTTAGTTCATGTTTTCTTGTGGAGCTTTCAGAATCAAATTTATACAATGAAACACACTCAGGAGATAAAATTTTAACACTTTATGTCATCTCAATTTTCCTATGAGTTTTTTAAAAAATGAAAATTACCATTACTACCCTTTCCTGATAATATAGGCTTACTTTTTAAAGCCAATAAATACAGAAAATAATAATGAAATAAATTAATTTTTTTGTTGTTTTAACAAAGATGTGATCACAATTTAATACTGTTTACATGTTCTCATATAAATTTTAATTATGATGTTCAATTGTGGTGTTGCATTTGATTACAGGAAGATATTCTAATTTGACCAACCCCATCACTGGTAGAGATCTGAGATTTTCTTTTCCCAGCGCTTATTGCTAAATATAGTATACTCTTGTAAACTGTCCAGAGCCCATGGTCACAGACTCTACATTCTGCTTCTCATGATAATTCAAATTAAAACATTTCTGTTAATTCATGTGCAGAATGAGTTTGATGATGCTTTTAAAACCTTGACTTTTATAAAGGTTCATCACATTGAGCAGAAGAGAGAATGAAGACTCAGTCTGGAAAATAGAAGTTTATGCTAAACTGAATTTATCTAGTAATGGTCCTCCCCTCAAACACTTGGGAAGTCTTTACAAATGGTATGGAACTATCTTATGGACACTCAGAGACTCCTAAGTCTGAAACAAGTTTCTTAAGAACGTGCTCACAATGAGCAAATTTAACAAGCAGTAACCAGCTGGTCCCTAAAATACAGTAAATTTGTGTTTTCTGTTCATTCACTGAACTTTTTCTCAACTTGGGAGTGAAGCAGCAACAGATGGCAGATGTTGTCCTCTCCTAACCTAGCTTTTGGTACGTAACACTGCTCTTTTCACATCTTTTTTGAATCTTCACTAAACACACCGCTAAAAAAAAAAAAAAGTAAGAATCATTTAGAAAGATAAATGAAATAAGATTATTAAATTTTAGGTCAAATAAAACACCAAGTAGATATTTATCATTTTATTTGATATAAATATCAAGTAGATATTTATCATTTATTAAATGCCTTGTTTAGAAAAAATTTGATAATCTTAACATAGATTATGTTTTCTTGTATTTTTCTCTCAATTACATGTACCATACATTCAAAACATTTCATACTTTTCGTTTTGTTTTGTTTTCACAGAGACTTTATGAGGTCCTAAGACCATTTTACAAGACAAAATGTGAAATGATTGACCTAGGATTATTGAGTTAACTGTGGCACTCAATTTAGATTTTGGACTTAAAAATCTCAGCTGGTATTCTATCGAGCAGTTTTCAAAAGTCAAGAATTAGTGGTCCTTTCAATTCCCAGTTCAAAAAAAAGAAAAAGAAAAAAAGAATTAGTGGCCCATCTTGAGAAGTTGAGTCTCAGAATTTCTAGCACAGACGTTCCTCACTTAATGACCAAGTTCCACTCCTGCAACTAGGTTGTTACGGGAATTGGTAGCTAAATAAGTAACTGTATGTAGTATGTACATTACAATATTCAGAAGAGATGGTCAAAGGAAACTCCAACTTGATGACTTTGCTTTTACTTGTGTAACTCTTACATGTAGTACTATAATGTATAACAGAACATAGAACTATAACTCACAGTACAATCAGCAAAAATTATAGTACTGTACAAAACAATGTTTGACGTATAAAAATATATTGAGGCTCTACAAACAGGAAATACAGAACTGTACAAAGAAAAGATGGGTTATAGGTGTGAATCAAGAGTATATTCTGAGGAATACTGTATCTGTACTGGATAAGGATGAGGACACTCAGAGATCATGGTGGACACTTGTGAGGGTCACTGAGGTCCACAGCCCAGTACGTTACACCTGGCATTTCTTTTGAGTCTCACATACAGTACCTCAGAGGTTAACAGTGGTGTCATGCTACTTGTCCAAAGTTAGAGGACAAACACATCCGTTTTGTCCACTGAGAGATTAGCTGAGCTAAATTTAGCTCTGTTTTCTTTAGGTTCTCAACAAAGAATGAGCATCAAGACATTAATGAACAGCTGTTCATTACAAATGTAATCTTTACACCTCATTACAAATGTAATCTTTTTGAATAGCTATAAACATAGAGGTTAAGGAAGGAAAACACTAAGATACTTCAGATCACAAACATTCTTTGAATTTAACTCTTTTCTGTGTCTAGGACAACTTACTGCCTCCCCAATTTGCATTACAGCAATTACTGTTTCTTTAATCTCCACCACAGGCCTCTGACACACTCTCAGGAACTTGTTACATTCCAAGTTAAATGAAGGCTTCTTAGTGACAGTACTGGACAGTAAGGAGATGGGCAAAAAGACAAATTATGCTTCTAGAAAATCCCAAACAGCTACACACTAGATATCAGACTATTCTTTTTATATTGTACAATGTCACGTAGAATTCATGTAGTTTTGTATTCCTTAATACAAAATTAGGCCTACAACAACTAAGATGCAGGGACTATTCCACAAAAGATTGATTTTGCCTACTGGGCTTGCTGGATGCCATCTGCTGGTTTCTTGGGCGTAATGTTTAAGTATTTGAAACTTTAGTTAAGTCTTAAAAATTTCCACAAAATGTATGTGATATGATAAGAAAATTTACAGGGAATGCTGCAGAAAATCACTGCAATAAAAGACACATTGCCATGTATTTCCCTCAGAATACTCCCCCTCACTTGAACACACTTATCCCTGCCTTCTTGCTACTTCCTTAAGTAGTTCTGGAAGTATTCTTTCATGAGTATCTTTAGCTACACTGTCATGGCTGCCTTGATTCCTGAATCAGTTCAAAACATTTACCTATCATAGTCACTTTGACTTTGGGGACAAGCCAGAAGCCAGAGCCAGATCTGGTGAATGAGGTGGATGAGGAAATATCATAACTTTTTTAATTGGACAGAAATTGCTGTAAACGTTTTGAATCAATTTGGGACATCAAGGTAGCCACAAAAAGACAAACATGAAAGAGAATTGCAAGAACTGCTTCCGAAATTACCACGAATGATGAGATAAGTGTGTCTGAAGTGAGGGAGAGTATATTAAGGAAAATTAATGGCAACGTGTCTTTACACTAATAAATTTTTGTTTTTATTTGTACATTCACTGTGTATTTTATTATGTTGTGTAATTCAATTACGAAAAGTACATTAGCACAGCTCTAGTGATTATATCTGGTTAAGTTTATTGAAATGTTTTTGTTTTTTTGAGACAGGGTCTCACTATGTAATTCAGGCTGACCTTGAACTCAGTATGTAGCTCAGGCTGCCCTCAAACTTGTGGTGGTCCTCCAGCCTCAGTCTCCTGAGTGCAGGGATTAAAGGCATGCAACACCATTTCAGCGTTTATAAAATTTTATAATGCATTTTCTTTTACAATGACAATGTTGGCTTTAGGTTTTTGTGAATCTCTCATCCTGAGTTCTAATCATCTGTGTTATAAATAGTTGTTTTTATCTTTGATTTTCAATATAGACATTCCTCATTTAACAACTGAGCTCTATTCCTGTGCCTCAGTCCTTAAATGAACTGGTCACTAAATGAGGAATTGTATATAATATGTTCATTACAATACTCAGAACAAAGAAATGGTCAAAGGAAAGTCCAACTCGATGACTTTGCTTTTACTGCATAACTCTTACATGTAGTACTGTGATGTATAACAGAACACAGAACTATAATACTGTACTGTACAGAACAAGCAGCAAAACTTAAAGTACTATATAAACAAGGTGTACTGTACAAAAAAGACATCGAGACACTATAAACAAGATGTATAGAACTACACAAAAGAAAAGACGGGTCATAACTCTCAGAGGCAGGTCATAAGTCAGACAGTGTGCCTCGTTGTGAGTTCAATCAGTCACTAACTAGGTAAGGTTGTTAAACAAAGAATATCTGTACAGTAGTTCATATCTTGGCATTTCTGTGTACACATTAGAGAGTATCTCAGAAAAGCCAGAAGGATTGAAAAGTTTTCACCATAATGACATGATAAATGTTTGAGAAAGTAGATAAATTTAACCTGATTTAAACATGATATAACATATACATACACCAAAACATTACATGGTACCCAATTAAAATGTACAGTTTTTACATTTACATTTTTTTTTTTTTTAATGCATCCTTTGTGATATCCAACAGGGCAGCATGGCAAAGAACAGTTTTCCTTATTTTTCTTCCCTTTTCAGTACGTATCAGCTAAAATAACATCAGCTTGGCCAGGTATTCCAGTTTTGTGAAAGTGCTGTATGCATACTCTTGATGAAACAATGGATCATACCTGAGTTCTACAGCTTTCATTGCAAAAGCCTACCTCTGTCCCAACACCACCACTCAGGGTCAGCTTGACCTACATCCAGTAGCAGGCCACCGATGCTCAGCCAGGTCTGGAATGGATCTACAGTCAGAATAGAGTGAAGGTTCAGACACACAGAAGTATTAAATGGTCTTGCTATTCCCTTCATTCTTACTGTGAATTCAGTGTATTCATAATTAAACATAAATATTATACTGAAAGAATCACAAATTTTATAGGGGAGTTTCACTAACGGTAGGCAGTCAAAAATATGAAGTGATTTGATTGATTAGTGACTCCTGAGAAATGACAATCAGGCTGCTGACAGGCTGTGCTTACCAGAAAAGCTATAATTTTTTATAGAGTTGTCTCAGAATTCTCTCATCCCTTCCCACTGATTTTACAACCTGGCTGCCATTTCATGTTGGCATTGGTCAGGGAGAAGGGAGTTGGTGTCATGCTGATAACCAGATTGTTCCAGATTAAATGTCCAGTTGATTGGGACCTAGAGTTACATAATGATTTTATGTGTGTCTGATCTACTCTGAATCTCTATAGGACCAATTTCTATCCCTCCTCTTTTCTGTAGATAACCCACTGGCCTGAGGACATTGTCGCTATGGGATATTCACACCCTCAACTTCCCATTCCCCTTTGTAAAAACACAAATTTTCATTTCAGTTCTCCATCTTAAACCCCCCACCCAAGCCTGTCTAAGACGAAGAACTGGTACGCCTGTTACCGATGCTCCAGTTCCACTGGCTAGTGTCTGCAGGGTTCTAATGCCAGCACACCCTCTTTTATTGTCCAGTCTCCCACTTTAAAAGGTCTTCCTCCCTGCATAACCAGGACCATTTTTCTCTATTGAACTAAAAACAAAACCCCTAAAGCAACTGCTTTTACCAGCCTCCCCTGCTTGTACTATACAATCTCGTTTGATTCATATAATGCATCTTTTTCCAGGGTCACTTCTCATTCCATCTTCAAAGCCAAATAATCTGCTTTCATTCTGTTCTCCACAAAAGCTGCTCTGACTATAAGGATCAGTATTAGTTAGTTCTCCATAGCTGTAGCAAAATACCTGTGATAAATGACTTCAAAGGATGAATGATTTACTTTGGTTCACAATTTCAGCTTATAGTTGACTGACCCCATCCATTTGGGCCTATAGCAGCATAGTCCACAAAGGTGGCAGCATGTGCTGGGTGTCTGCTCACCTCACAGACGTGAGGAAGTGGAAGAGATTAACAGGAAGAAGCTCAGGTCCCAGTATCTTCTTGGGGCCACATCTGAATGAGCAGGTTTCCTTCCACTAGGCCCCATTTCCTACACATTCCACCACTTCACAAACATTTGATTAAGTGACAAGTCTGGTGACCAAGTTTTGGTGGGTTATATGAGCTTCAAACTATAACAGTTCAGGTCCCATTCCCTCACTTGATCTCTCTGAATCATTCTGATAAATTTTTGAAACCTGTTCCTTCTCAGCCTCCTTTAATGACCCCTTGGTTTCCACCCACCTACTCATTCCTACTCAAGACCTGTCTTTGGTTGACTCCATGGTCTCATTCACTCGCTAAGTTTGTGTTAAGTATCCACACAAATGGCTCCTGCCATCTTCATCAACTACTTAGATCCAACTGTTAACATTTAACACAACTGTCCCCACAAGTAGTCTAAAACAATCACAAACCCTCTTTGCTTCCCAAACTTGTTCCACCTGATTTCCTGTTTTGCTTCATAAATAAATCAGTAAAATCTGGTTATGTGAATTCAGCTCTTTTTCTCACTCCTCTTTTAAGTCAGTCATCACATCCTATCATTTGAAATGACCTTTCAACGTTTCCATGGACCAGACCCTCATCATCCTCAAATGACCTTCTTGTTTACAAGATCAGTGCTTTTCCACATGTGGTCTCCTCAATGATAGCATTAACTATTACCTGGGAATTTAAGTAAAATCCAAGTTCTCAGGCTGCCCTGACCTATTGAATCAGGAACTCTAGGGTAGTATCTGATAATCTGTGTTTTAACAAATTTTCTACGTAACTCTGAACCTAACATTTGAGAACCACTACTCCAATCTACTCCCACTAATTTGTTCTCTACACTTTTAAAATAGTCATCTTGCAAAACAAACACATTTGGTTTGTTTCTGCTTTGCTCAGAAGCCTTTAGTGACATTTTTGACCAGGGAGTGAAATCTCAATTTCTTAATACAGCATAAAAAACCCATCGCGATCTAGTTTCGGCCAGCCAGTTTTCAGAAAGTACAATGAAATGCATTTTAGTAAAGTGGACTGCCATGTACTGATTAAGGGAATGAATCCTATTACTTCGGCTTTGACTTTCTACCTTATCACTTGACAGCGGACCACAGATGAGCCACTTAACCTCTCTACAGCTGTTTCATCCTCTGCAAAGGGAGAACAGTAACTTCCATATCACAAGGTGGTTGTATAATTGCCACACTTGGCACTCAGTCTGGGTTCAGTGACTGTAATTATTATGACTATTTGAGAAACAAAACAAAAACTCTTACTGGAATCAATCTGGAGTGTACCAGGAAGGAAGACTGGAACAAATGCCCAGATAAAGGGAAATGGTCCCATAAGAGAGGCCTGCTTCTTCTGTACAGCTTCAGTGAATTAGTTATAAAATATCCAAATTTTCAAGAAAGAGTGTGTGTGGTCTTTGGGCTATTTTAATTGGGGCGAGGGGCTGAATCTGTACTCAGAATCTAGATGTTACAACTGAGAGTCAAATGTGAGAACCAGGTAAGCTAATTATGAAAGAAACAAGAAAACTAAAAGAGCAAAGTAGCAAATGCAGTGTGTTTAAATTCATGTTTGTTTCTGATAATAGTTAATAAAACTAGAGTTGCCAAATGATTAAATGTTAAGAGTCCTCATAGCACAGACTTGATCTGCACGATCAGAGGCTTTAAGTAACAAGAATTCTGACTTTTATCACAAGTTATGACTATGAGCAAATCACTTCTCTCCTGCCTCAATTTAATAATGTTTAATATAGGACCCCATTATGAAGACTATCATATACATTCATAGCTTAACACAGTGAGTGTGCGGTATGTGGGAAGTTCTCAATATATGGCACTTCTTTTATTATCAGTGTGAGTATACTGTCTTTTTTTTTTTTTTTTTTTTGGTATCGGGAATGGAACGCAGGACTTTGCTTTTGCCAGGCGGGAGGGCTTGTACCTCTGAGCTATATCCCCGGCCCTGTATTATCTTTAATACAAATCAAAATAAGCTTCTGTAGACTCTCCTACTTGATTAGTGCCATTATACATTATCATATAACATTCTGACTAACACGTGGTTCCGTCTTAAAAAACTAGCAAATGTTACAAAGATAGACCCAAATACAACCATGTCTCCAGGGTTTCCATCCTTTAGGTCTTAGGAACCTTCGTATCAAATATTTGTGAGTCATCTTATTCAAACGCTCACTTAGTATCTCTTACTTGCTGGCAGGGTCCAGGGTAAATTATAAGGGACGATTTTTGCCTTCCAGGAGAATACAGGCTTGAGGGGACAATCCTAACAAAACATGACTAAGTACTGTGTAGGAGAAAACAAAACACTGTGGATGAAAAGCTTTTGCAAAGTTGACCCAATTTTCAAAACTTTACTTCCGGTTTTCTGTTCTAGTTACTTCGAAGGAATCTCAATCCATTTCTCCTAACTTCAGATTTAGCGACAGGAGGCAGGCAGTAGCGTCAGGAACAGTAACTGCCAGACATCTTCTCAAAGGTTGCACCTTGTTTTGCTGGTCTGCTGTGTCCCCAGTGCAGAGACGAGATTCCTGGGCCCTTGGTTCCATGTAGGGTGGCTCCAACACCACTCTTATTTCCGGCGTCTCCTACTCCTAGTGGCTTTCTCGGAGCACCCGTCCTAAAGTCCCTATCATTCCCCACGTTCTATTTCCCTCAAGGCCCCATTTCTGTGGTGAACACCCTGTACCACCCTGATCCCCGTTAAGAAAGATGTTCCTTCCCCAGCTCTTGCGGGGGCCGAGATAGCTCTCAGCCGCCAGCCCCTACCCGGGACTCACTCGGCCGCCAGCAGTGCTGCTACGGGGCTGGAGCAGACCTTCTCTGCGACAGCACTGCAGCTCCACTTTATCCCTCCCTGCTTCCTTTAGTCCTCAGGAATGATCCAAAATGTCCTCTCTAGTAAACCTCCTGCCCACCAATCTGAGTCCGCTTCCTAGGAAAAACCACCCAGGTCACTCCAGAAACCTGCAGTTCATTTCCCCACGTGGCGCGTTTACCTTTTCTTCCCCTTCACTAGAATATCGGCTGCAGGACGCCAGGGGCCACGCCTGCCTTGGTGGGTGCACGGCACGGTGTCGCAAGCACACGCTATTTTTCTGATTGTGGTAAAACAAAGTTACTGAGTGACAGGAGCTGGGCACGGTCCAAAGCTGGAAGATGAGCACGCCCTGGTCTGGGCCGCCTAGGACACAACTGATCTCCTTGGTACTGTCTCAGGCCCCGAGTCCTGCGCCTGCTGTCCCGTCCAGCTGGCCCGAGCCCGGAGTCCAGCTGCGCCGGGCAGCTCCGGGCAAGGCGCAGCCACCCCGCCAGCAGCCCGGCTCCCCGCGCGCCCCACCACCCCAGAGGACACCGGCTCGGGAAGCCAGGGGAGGCGGGAAGGAGCTGACGGCGCCGCGCAGGCTTCTCACCTGCCCACAACGCCGCGCCTCCCTAGGACGCTGCCGCAGCCCGCAGGCCCCGGAGGCCCGACCCGACACCACGCAGCCGCCGCGGATCTCGGTGACCTTCGCCCTGCGCGCCGATACGGCGCATGCGCAGCGGTGCGGCGGGCCCGGACCCGCTCCAGTGCCGCTTCTCCGGGTTTTCTCGTCTACTCAAGAGGCGGCAGTAGCAGCGCGAGTAAAGGCGCGGGATTTATTCAGCGTCAATCTCAGATGGTTGAAAGTGTAAAATTTAAATAACACTTCAAATGTAACTAACACATAAAAATGGCACAGAATTGTCTTTTGATGCACACTTCACGAGCATTTATTTAATGAATAAAGAACTACTCAACTGTTCTGGGCTCTACGTATTCCGTGACTGACCAATCATAAAGCGCTGGTGTCTGTCGCTCAGAGGCAAACCCTGCCTTCCTATACAGCTACCTGGAAAACGAGGAAACTCGCCCTGCCACTCCCTCCCTGGATCGGGTTGGATTTTTGGACATGCGCAGTAAGAGCTAGTCGCCTTTGTAGCTGACTTCCGCCCTCAGTCTTTGGAACCAAGGATTACAGCGAGGTCAGAAGTTCAAAGTGGTGTCCTTCACCAGATTATTTCCGGGTTATCTAAGATGTTTTTCGACTCAAAGACAGAAGTTTTACTCTCTTGGATTATTCCAAAGACTAAGAGAGGAAGTTATGTTTAAAATGGCTATTTTTAACTAAAATTCCTCTTATTATTGTCCTCATGGAAAATATTTTCCACTTTTGAGCTATTAATTTTCAGGTATCAATTAAACCACAGTGATACTGTGTTTTATTTTCTCTCCATCGCTACTACAAAGCACTGGAATAACCGTAATTCATCACTTGCCAATCATATTCTTTGCGTCCACCGCCTCTAAACGTCAGCCTGTGCCGCCATTTTTGTTGCGGTCACACCGTAAAAGTCGTGATGTCCTCGGTGGAGGACATTTTTATTTAGGGCAGAGTCCTTGCTTTATCCGAGCAGCAACCTAGTGATTTGCCGCCATCTTAAATCCTGGCTCCGGCTTCAAGGCCATGCGAAGCTACCGAGATCATCTTGTATTTGGGCGGGTGCCGCGCGCCCTGTCGCGCGGGGTACCTTGGGAAAGGGGAAGTGGGCCCCAAATACAAATTTTGAAAGCGTCCGAGAATTGGTTTGGTGGATTTCAGGCTCTGTAGAGTGACTGTCCACAGCCAAGTCCTTCTCCACCAGTGACCCCGGACAGTAACAAAACATACAAAGCCCGAGCCCAAACCCCGCCTCCATCATAGGTAAGACGTGGAACTTCTGGCGACCTAAAATGGTCATCACTGGAACTGAGTGTTTGCCCACCACCGTATGCTTTTCGGCTTTGGTTTTTTTTTCAGGCTTTTCCAAATTTTTCTTCCTGTGCTTCAGCCTCTCCTCATTATTTTCGAAGAGCTGAAACGTTGTTAACTAGCAGGGTGCGAGAGGCCTGGGGTTTAAAGAAGAGAAAATGTTAACCAAAAAAAAAATTTTTTTAGGACAAAATGGAACCCAGTGGATAGGCCAGTTACTGGTATCAAATTGTGGCGTCTGCGTCCATTTGTACATAGACCTCGTCCCAGAGAACTTTGGAGCGTGATGTAAATACAGATTATGTTTGCATGGAGTTCCCATTCATTCATTCATTAATAGGCTTATTAAATGCTTGTTTTAGACCGTAAAAATGCAGCAGTAAACTGATACAACTTGGAAGCCTCTTTCCATCATCCGACATATCCTAGGTTGTGACCTGGAGGACAGTATTCTATAGTTCGTAGCGTTGCTAGAGTCTACAAACCAGCATTTCATTTCTCATTTCCTCTAATCCCTAATTTTTTCCTTACCTAGGAGTGAATTATGTTGATAGTTAATGTTTGGACTCTCGATATAACCCTATTTGTAAGCAAGTTAGCCAATATTGGAATTAGAATTCAAATTCTTTTAGGTCCCCGTTGCTAAGAGTGTGGTTCAGCTCCCACGAGCATCAATATCGTGTGAAATCTTGTTACGGATGCAAAGTCATCCCCCACTTTAGATCTAGGAATCAAAATGTTCTCCCAGAAGTGCACTTCAGCGTTCAAGAACTGCTGATACAGGACATGGGATAAAGAGAATCGCCTGCCTTTTTCCCACCTGAGCCTCTTAGCCAGATTCCGTGTATTATCAGCTAACTAAATGTTCAAATACGATGGCTATTTTTGGCTTATTTTCCTGTTCTGAGGCCAGAGTTGAGGTCATGACACCAACATAACATGTCAAAAAGTTGACAAGAGTCTTTGTTGCTCCAGTATGCGTTTATGTAACTGACAACATTCAAGATGTAGAGTTTTTTTCTTTAAATCTTCACATCCAATTTACCACTAGTATGTTATTAATATAAAAGGGGAAGGGGGTTGTTGCGATGTTTCTTGTTTTCTCCTACCCTGTGTGGATATTTTAAATTTTAATTTGTTATAAGCTGAACTCAAAAGCCTGCATGTGGACAACAGTTCATTTATTGACTTGAAACCTTGGACCATGGTTTACCAAAGCTTTTTGTGGCGCCTTCCTTTTTTTGTCTCTTTGCCGAGGTGTTTACATCAGGAGTTCCCAACCTTGGACGCATGTGACAGTCACCTGGGGAGTCTTTAAAGCAGACTCAGCCCAATTATCAGCAGAGATTGTGACTGCATAGAACTAAGGAGCCAGTCTGGTATTTGAGAGAACAGCATTTGACTTTCACTTTTTTCATGACAGTGTATGTTAGGGATTTTTCCTGCTGCCCTTGTGGTTTTACTTAAAATAATCAGGTTTGTGAAGGCAGTGAAAAGAATTGGGATTCGAATGTGGTCAACCAGCTTCTTAGTAACTGATCACTTGCCATTTATTTTTTGTGCCTTAAGCAAGCTGTTCAGCCTCTCTGTCTCTTTTCCCTTTGTCTATTAATAGGGTAAAGAAGGATGAAAGTTGTTGTTTTATTTATCCTTCTGTGAATGTTTCAAGTTGCAGTGAATGGGAATGTATATGTGTATTTTCTGTGAATGTATGTATCTTGGGAATATAAGGAAGAAAAGTATTCCATGGCAGTATGCATTGCTTTTGAATGTTACATGTTGCATTGTATGTTGAAGGTGGCAGTAGAGCAGGATATATAAAGAAATGAACTCTGGAGTTAGAGGTCCTGGCTGCAAATCCTACCTTTTCTACTTAGGAGCTGTGTGACCTCATGTGGATTACCTAACTCTGTCTGTTTCTTCATTTGTAGATTTGATGTGAGCGTTAGCTAGGTTAATACAAGAAAAGGGTTTAAAATGCTTGGCCTGGCTTGGCTGGATGAGGTGGCGCACATCTGTAATCCCAGCACTTGGGAGGCTGAGGCAGGAGGATCCTTGCGAGTTCAAGACCAGCCTGGGCTACAAAGTGAGTTCAAGGTCAGCCTGAACTGCATAGCAAGACCCTGTCTCAAAAAGACAAAAATACATAAATAAATTTTAAAAATGCTTGGCACATAGAAACAGCTATGTGCATATTGTTATTTTTTATGTTTAAATATTTGGCTTATTAAGATTTTGTTTATGCACACATCTTTTGTTTTTTGTTTTCATTTGAAAAGGCTCGTAACAAAAACCAGCCTTTTTGAAATACAACTGTGATACAGTAAGATATATATATTTAAAGTGTACGACGACATGTTTTATATGTGCACACCAGTGAAACTGTTACCACAATCAAGAAAATGAACATAGCCACCACCCTCAAAAGTTTCCTGTTGTCCTTCATGGTCCTTCTGCTACTCTCTGTCAGGTCCCTAGTTGATCACTATTGCCAAATGCACTTTCTAGGTTTTTATGTAGAAGGAGTCTTGCAATACATGATTTCTTTGGTGGTGACTCTGGCTCATTTCACTCATCATGACTGTTTTGAGATATATCTTTGTTGTATAAACAGCCATTCCTTTTTAGTTGTTGAATAGTATTCTACTGTGTTTTTGTCTACCAGTTGTTAGCCATTTAGATTGTTTTCATTTTCACTGTTTTCACTTTGTTTGATTTTCTAGCTTGTCTGAATAAAAAAAAGATGACAGTGGTAAAACGTGTGTGTTGGGATTTGGCTATTGTGTAGTTTATGAATTTAACTTTTATGAATGAGACATTGTGGCTTTTTTATAATACAGATATTGGGATGGGGGATGTAGTTCAGTGGTAGACCATTGGGTGGCATGCACAAGGCCTTGGGTTCAGTCTTTAGCATTGTTTAAAAAAAGAGGAAAGAATACATGTATTGGCATATGTACCCACTTTGCCACACATCTCCTCTCTGTCTCTGTCTCTGTCTCTGCCCTCGCCCCTGCCCCTGCCCCTGTGTGTGTGTTTCTCTTGCTCTCTATCACTGTCTCTGTCTCTGTCTCTATTTCTGTCTCTGTCTCTGCCCCACCCCTACCTCTGTGTCTCTGTCTCTCTCTCCAGCATCTTGCTGTGTTGTCCAAGCTGACCTCAGATTTGTAATCCTGCAGCAGCTTCAGGCTTTGGAGTAGCCGGGATTATAGATGTGTGTCACTGTGCCCGGCAGATGGTTATTTCTCCATGTATACATGTGTAATCATTTTAAGCTGTTTTAATTCTTTAAAGCCAAAGTCTATTATTTATATATTACTTTTGAAAAGTTGAAGACAATAATTTATGCAAATTGGAAACTTGCTAGTTAGGTAGCAAAGTAGGGATATAAAAAGCCCAGCAGAAATGTCATAAAATCCCCCTTTGCTAGTATCTGCACAGCACCACTGATATTTTGAGTCTTTTTTGCTTCTATTATAGAAAACCAGAGCCTCCTTTTAGAAAAACTTTCACACTGTTTACATTCTGTTCTTGAATGAATCAGTGCTGGTTTAGAGTTGGATATGACAATTAGAGACAGTATAG